CGATATGCGTAAAGATTCGAGGTCCAGACATTGTATCGCGAAGAACACGAAGAAAACGTCAGCCGGTTGATTGATCGATCGTTGCTGTTCGTGTGAGCAGCATTCAACTTCGCGGGCGCATCGGTGAGACAGTGCTCGGCTTTTGTCACATGACATCTGGCCCCCAACTCCGCTCTTTTCCGTGATCGTTGACTCTCGACCCCGCGTGATCGCTTGCATTACTGATCCTGTCCGGACTGATCCGAGCCTTGTACGCAGCGCCTGGGGCGCTCGACTGTCGTCATGGATAAGGCTGATTACTGCACCAAACTAGGCAACCTCCTGATGGATAAGGAAGCTTATGCGCCATCGACCGTCAGCGAGTTTAAAAAGCTCGTAAACAGCATAAACAATACGATCGTCAAGTTGAGGAAGGCGGGAGCTCTTACGAGAAGGGAAGCGTTGGCCGCAAAAGCCAGTGATGCCGCGATGACGCGCTTTTACGTCCTACCAACGGTCCACAAGCAGGGGGTTCCACTACGTCCCATCGTCTCCTTATGTGGTACCCCAACCTTTGGGCTGTCAAAGTGGCTGTACCAACGACTTTGTTTCCTTACGAAGGATTCGGAGTGGACAGTGAATTAGGCTGAAGAGTCCTTGACGCGCATCAAACATCTCGAAGTGGAGGCATATGAGGTGATGGTGTCATTTGACGTGATCTCATTTTTCACCTCCATCCCACCCGCGCTGGCTATCGACACTATTGATGGCTTTCTCCGGGAAAGTATGAGACCGGCCAACAGCTTAAACGAGAACACATCGTCGAGCTCCTAGAACTATGTCTTAAGACCTTCTTTACATTCAACGGCCAAGACTACGAGCAAAAGAAGGGGACACCGATGGGCTCGCCTCTCTCTGGACTAATTGCCGAAGCAGTTTTGCAGAGGCTCGAGCAGCTGGTCTTCAGCTCGTACTCCCCGAAATTTTGGGTCAGATACGTCGACGACACGTTCGTTGTAATAAAGAGAAGCGAGGTGAAGGCTTTCAAGGCATTATTGAACTCAATCTTTCCCGACATTCAGTTTACGATGGAAGAGGAAGTCAACAATCAGTTGCCCTTCCTGGACGCACAAGTTACGAGATTTACAGACGGTATACCGTAAGGCCACAAATACTAGGCATATCCTCCACTTCCGAAGCAACCGACCTGTCGGTCATAAACGCAGTTGTGTCAGAACTCTCTTTCAACGTGTTTAAACAATCAGTAGCGACGACAGTGGGAGGAAGGAGGAGATGTATTACTTGCAGGCCCTTTTAAAAGCCAACGGCTACTCGAAGTCCTTCATATGCAATTGTTTCAAAAAGCCTCATTTTGAACGGTTGAGTGGAGAAAAGCCCAAGTTCTGGCTCTCAATACCCTATGTGAAGAACGTATCAGAGGCGATGGCGAGAATCCTGAAACCTTTTGGGATTGGCGTGGCTCATTAACCAGAATGCACCATCAGACAGCAAATCATGAAGTCCAGAGACCGGCTACCAACAACGGAACAGTCGGCGGTGGTCTACAGCATGCCGTGCTTAAATTGCAATGCAAGGTATATTGGTGAAACGGGCAAACGCCTCGGTACAAGATTGCACGAACACCAACTTGCAATTAACCGCAATGACAAGCTGTCTTTGGTCTGTGGCCACATACAAGAATTGAACCACGATTTTGCCTTTGAGAATGCGAGGGTAAATGCTCGAGCCAATGAGAGTGTGGCCAGACTGATGCAGAAAAGTAGGTCCCCGACTGGCACACTCAAACGAACTGTAGATCTACATCCCGCCTACCAGGCGCTGCGTACAAGGCTCGGATCAGTCCCGGCGGGCCAGTAAGGCAAGCAATCACGCGGGGCCGAGAGTCAACGCTCACGGAAAAGAGCGGAGTTGGGGGCCAGAGGTAATGTGACCAAAGCCGAGCACTGTCTCACCGATGCGCCCGCGAAGCTGAATGCTGCTCACATGAACAGCAACGATCGATTAGTCAACCGGCTGACGTATGAGAGGCCAAGCGGCACGTTGATTTGACTACAATTACGCAGACCCCGAAGGGAACAAATGTCACGGAGGCCTGTCAGCGGTCAGCCCCGGGGAGCTCTAAGCCAGTCAGCAGCAAACAGACAGGTCAAAGTTCGTGCGTCAAGCACGGCTATAATACGAGGCAGGCGGCAAGACTGAACAACTCAAGACCGGCAGGAGCGACAAGTACGCTTCTCTGATGATGCAAACGAGGAAGTTTCCGAAACGTCAATTCGAATACAATATTGTCCATGAATTCGCCCTCTCTTCTTCTTAGTCTTCTTCGGGAGATGCTGAACGCGATATACAGGTATATATTGGAAGGCAGGCTTACCAAGAAATATAGTCAGTTTAAGTCAGTTTATTAAGGGAATGAGGCTTTCGCCCTTGAGCTCCCTATTCATATCGATAAACAGAAATAAAGTCATCAATTACATCAGCAAATGCGAAAAGGTATGAAGTTAGCGATAAGTGTGAGCTAAGTGCAAACCGCCGCCGCTAAAACAATCATTATTGTATGTACAGTAGGTTCTCAACAAGTGAGCGTCTAGTCTGCACTTAAAGGATTTGACACTTTCGGAAAGAACGACGGCATCAGGGAGTCCATTCCATGCCCCGATGACCCTGTGAGAGAAGGCGTTCCGTCGGACGTCCGAATGAGCCCGCTTCCTTTGCAGTTTGAAGGGACGACCACGCAGACAGTCAGTCCGGGCCAATTCAAAAAATTCATCAAAGTCTAGGGCACACTCACGGCTTCTGACGATCCTGTAGGTTTGAATGAGATCGCCGCGCAGTTGACTGTAATTTAGAGGAAACAGATTTAGTTCGGTCAGCCTGGTTTCGTAAGGCAAATGATGAAGATCCTTGACCATCTTCGTAGCTATCGCCTGTACTCTTTCCAGTCGCTGATAATCTTTCTTTAACCACGGTCGCCAGGCCTGGACTGCATACTCTAAGTGAGACCGGACGAATGCCCCATAGGTTTTTCCGAACAGCTCCTTGTCGATCTGCACAAATCCTCGCCTCAGCGCAAATAACACCCTTATCGCACTTTTGGCTGCCCTTTGACACTGAAGATGGTTTCAGTGAGGAGGTCATTAGGACTCCCAGGTCTTTCTGTTCCACAACATTTGAAAGGGGCTGACCATCAAGGATGTATTGAAAGGAATCGTCCTCCTTACTGGTCCGTCTGGTGCGGAGTCTCAGGACCACACATTTGTCCACATTAAAATTGAGGAGCCAGCGAGCTGACCAACTGTTTAGGCGGTTGAGACTGTCTTGAAGCGCGTACCTGTCTGCATCAGATCTGATGGGTCTCCACAGCTTAACATCGTCAGCAAACATGATGGCGTTGCATCCCAGGTCGTCGACGCAGTCGTTAATGAGTATGAGTATAAACACGTTCTTTGGGAAAACAGACAAATTTATAAGGCATACTCTTGACACCGGTCCCCCATGTCATCGTCAGACTTGAGTAAATATGCAGAAAACAATTAACATTTCAAAAGTGCAGAAAAATCAATAGTCGTTGGGTATTTGTGCCAGTAAATGGTCGCCACGTACGTCATTCTGTATTGATTGGCTCTCGTCTCATCCTTTTTTCCCTGAGATTTCTGTACATGCCATCTAACTCAATGTGCCGATTGATGCATGATTCATCGGAATGTATGGCTTCAAGGAATTCGCGGCCTTTTTGATGGACAAACTCCGACGATGTATTTGCAGTAGATGTGCTCACTCATGAAATGCCAACTGAAATTCCGCAATACGCTTTCGGTTGGAAAAGATTAACGAAGTACGGTTGTAGAACTAATCATCATGCAGCATAACTCTATAATAATTCACTTACCTGAGAATGCCCGCTTTCGAATGAACTTCTTTTCGGCCGCATGCAAAAACTATACTCCGCAAAAATGACTGCTTGAGTAGTATATTTTTCTCTCATTGATTTCAATGTCCCTATAAAGCCAAACAGATTTCACAGAAAATGCACATGAAAACATCCATTTTATTACTCAGTTAATAGAAACTTACGTCTTCCTTAAATTTTATGCTTAAAGGAAGGGTATAATTCGGTTTTATAAAAGCTTTTCTAATCCTTGAATAATTTGGAAACCGATCTGCCGTTATACTTTTATTTAGGGTTTCCAAATTACAACTTGTGTGTTTCCCGTGTATAAAAAATCATGCATTTCTAGAAGCTACTAAGGGGGTTCCTATAATTTAGCAGTGGACTTAAACCGTATTGTAAACTGTGCAGTTGCAGTTTGTCCGAAGGTGTCAAACATGTCTAACTGGTGCCCAGAATGTCAGTTAACATTGTGGACACGTTGAAGTCGGTTGGGCGTTAGCGTTGTGAGGGGCGGCGGCAGTTGAAGTTTGCGTGTATCACGTTTGGCTTTGGCGGGGGTGATGCGGTTGGCTTCGTAGATGGCTGCACCGGTCTTCACTGCCCTCCTCCACGTAGGTCGGTCCCGAGAGAGGTCTTCTCAGCTCGCCGGGTTGATCTGGAGGCGCTTCAGAGAGGTTTTCAGAGTGCCCTTGTAGCACCTGATTTGACCTCCATGTCGTCATGATCCCCTCGCGACATTTGCATGGGAGTGTCGTTTGGGTAGCCTACGTCGTCCATCCGTATGAGGTGGCCGCTACAGCGTAATTGTAGTTGTCTCAACATAGCGTAGATTCTGAGGGATCCCGTCCGCTCCAGTACGTCCGTGTCTGTGATCTGGTCCTGCCACCTCAGTTTTAATATCCGTCGGATACAGCTGAGGTGGAAGTAGCTGAGTCAGCGTTCTTCCTTCATGTAAACCGTCTTGGTCTCTGTTCCACGCTGCAAACTCGGCAGGATGACATACTAGTACATTTTCAGTTCCACGCCGAGTTAAAGACCGTGACGATTCCAAATTGTGTTTTGAAGACGACCAAGGGCTTGACTGGTCTTTAAGACCTGACAGGTCACTTCATCGTCGATTTTGGTGCTGCAGGAGAGGTTGTTGCCCAGATACGTGAAGTTGTCCACCACTTGTAGTTAGGTTCCGTTCACGCTGATTTGCGGCGCAATGTAGGCAATGTTGGGTGGCGGTTGGTGCATGAACCATCGTCTTCCCCCTGTTGATGTTCAGGCCGAAGTTCTCGCAGGCAAAGGGGAAGAGATCCATGCTCCTTTGCATGTCTCCTTCAGTAGTTGCGTTGGGGGCGCAGTCATCGGCGAACGGAGGTTCCTGGAAAGTGGTTGTGAAGACAAGCGATTGAAAGTGGTTGAAAAGTTGGCCGTCCATCCTGTAAGCAATTCGGACCTCCGGACTTTCGTCACGGTAGATGTCCATCAGCATGGCAAAGTACGTGAGACTGAAGAGTGTAGTCACGAGAACGCAGCCCTGCTTCTCTCTGTCGGTTACTGCAAGTACCTTTGAGACAGCTCCATTGTCAGTGACTCGCGCCCTCATGCCATCGTGGAGCTGGCGCACCATCTGAGTGAATCATTCGGGCCAACCAAGTTCCTGTATAGTTTTCCACAGTCTTTTGCAATTCACCATGTCGAAGGCCTTCATCAGATCCCCGAGGGTAGAGTAAAGGTGGGTCCGCATCTCGTGACACTTCTCCTGAAGTTGGCGAGCGACGAAGATCTTGTTCGTTATCCCACGATGACGACGGAAGCCACGCTGGCTTTCCGGCGGGAAACCTTGTTCCAGATGCTTGTTCAGACGGTTCAGCGGGGAAATTCCAGGGTGGTTGTCGCGGATTTGGCGGTTTCCTTTCCACCCGTAGAGGTTCACGTTTGTGGCGCCCATAAAACCCTGCGGGACTTCTCCTCGACACCACGTCTCCTGGAAGATTATTCGTGGGTTGGGAACCATCATGTTTGTAAATCTCCGTAGGGGTCGCGTCTGATCTAGGCGCTTTCTCCGGGAGCTTCTACAAGGCCCTGATGATTTCGTAGAGAGAGTTCGGGTGGTCTAGGTCGGTGTTGGTCTCCACTTTGGGCAGACCAGCGATGGAGTCGCCAGCAATGGTGGAGGGGCGGTTGAGGACGGTGCGGAAGTGCTAGGCCCATCGCTGTAGAATTTGTGTTTTTGCAGTGAGTAGGGTACTTCTGTTGGCGCTGAGAAGAGCCACAGTTACTTTGGTTGGCAGACCGTAGGCAGCTTTGACCGCGGCGAATTAGTTCTTCCATTCGCCACGGTCCGCATACCCTTCGATCTCCTCGGCCTTGCGAGCCGTCTAGACGTTTTGTATCTCCAACAGCCGCTGTTGCACAAGGTGGCGACTGCGGTAGAGGGCTGTTTTCTTTCGACGTTGGGACGAATGAAGTAGGCTTTGTGCGGTCGGTTCTTCTCGGCTAGCAGGTTGCTGATGGCGGCGTCGTTGTCGTCGAACCAGTCCTATTGTTGGCAACGTGCGCGACCGAGGAAAGCCAGGCACGTCTACTGGATTGTGCCTGGGAGTTGGTGTCATCGGTCCTTTACGGAGGCGTTCTCCTCGGTGGCATCAGTCTCTGGAAGACAAGGTAGCCGCTGAGCTAGCTCTTTGCTGAAGTGGAGATGATTAGCATGCAAAGACGACAAAGCAGCATTCGGTTTACCTGATGATTGCTTGCCTTGAGCTCTCCTGCGAGGCTACATGCGAACCTGCATCTTTGAGATGGAGATGATCCCTCGATCCATCAGCACCCGGGATAGCTTTTTTCACTATTGTGCCCGCCGGTCTCGCCTCCGGACTAGGACGTAGTCCAGCAGGTGCTACTGACGTGACTGAGGATGCATCCAGGTGGCCTTCTCTCACATAGGATGGCGGAAGAAGGTGTTCGTCATGATGAGTCGGTATTCTGTGCAGGTTCTTAGAATGAGCAGGCCGTTTTCATTGGGGCCGTCGAGACTGTGGGGACCCAACACTCATCTCCAGGCACCATAGTCTATGCCGACGCGGGCGTTGAAGTCGCCAAAGGACAATTAACTTATTCGCCTTCTACACAAACGCCAGGAGGGCATGCAGGTCGACGTAGAATTTGTCCCAAGCGACGTCGGGGCTTGTCATCGGGGGACGTAGACGCTGATGATGATGGCGAATTTGCATCCCTGGAGAGGCAGGCGGAGGCTCATCAGACGATCGTTGAGGCCCTCCGTCAGATAGGGCAGTCGTCCCACGATGCCGTTCCGGATGGCAAAGCGACGCCCGTGTTCCGTCGCTCTGGCTTGGGGCGGCCGCTCCAGAGGAATGTGCAACCGGCATCAACCTCCTCCAATTGGCCTTGCTCGGAGAAATGGATCTCGCGGAGGGCATCGATGTCCACTTGTAGCGCGCCAGTTCCCGAGCCCCTAGCGTCGTCTTCTGTTCTAGTCGGTTGCCCCTGTGATTGTCTAAAAGGGAAGGAGCATTCCAGGCTGCCAGCGTGAGCGAACTAACCCTACCAGTCTGCCGAGTGTGGCGGCGGGGAGGTGGGGGAAGAGAGAGCGTGGCGCTTCGATTTTGATTGTTTCGACCTTGAGTTTTGCGTCTGCGACCATGGTCGGCCTGCAGACGACATGGTTTCCCAGCATTTGTTTAAGGCACCTTTTCTATCCCCTTCCCCATCGTGGGCGTGGGCGTTTGTCCCAGACGGCTGCCGAGCGCCACTATGAGCGATGTCTTTTGTTTAATGGGCGAAATATCCAAGTTAACCTGGTCCTGCCTACGACATTGCCGGTGGACTTGAAGGGGTGAAGGGTAGAGGAGGGTAGAGAGAGAGGGGATGGAGAGCTTCTCCGTCCCTCTCTAGGCTAAACTGGCTGCAGAAATTTCAGCGGTGAGCAGGCAAATTCAGCAGAACGGCATTTATTAGAAGAAGAAAATTGGCTCTCCGGAACAGGTTTATTTAACTGCTTACAAAGTCCTACGTCATCACAACCGTAGAGCTCAGGACCAAACAACCACACCGAACATAAGAAGACAGCACGCAGATAGCCCGACGCTGAGCTTACTCGGTGAGGAAGAACAAGAACCGCCAGACCGACAGTTAAATAAACCTGTTCCGGAGAGCCAATTTTCTTCTTCTAATAATCTTCCCGGATCTCTAAACTTTTCCAATCAGAACGGCATTTAGCTTACAATAAGGAGAGGCGTGAACAATTAGACAAAAAGCAGGCAGGCAAGAACAGGAAAAAGCAAAGGCAACAAAGAAAATCCAACAGAACAGCATTCATTTTTTAACAAGTACAGACACAGACAGACAGACAGAGAGCAGACGAGCACGAACAAGCAAAAGCAAAATACAACAGAGGAACATTCGCATACCTGGAGGCTCACTTACCTTTTGGCCTCCTACTGTGTTCCAGACGGAGCCGCGTTTCGGCGATGCCGATGCGGTGATCCAGCCGGTCAACCGAGATTACCATGTACGAATATACACACAAGGATACCCTCACCTGGTTTAGCTCTCCGGTCGAGGCGGTTACCGGATTGTAGCTATTAGGCAGAGTCTAGCTTCGGGGAGCCAATTGTGAGAGTTTGATGCCAGCAAGTGGAAGTTAGGCAGAGTCTACACCTGCAACCAACGAGATACCTACTGCGTCCGCCACGTGGACCCCCGCTAAACATCCCTTAATCCCAACAACAAGTAATAAAGACCCAAATAACAGTGCCTGAACCATCTGTTACTCCCACAGCCCGTCATGTTCCAGCCTCGGGAATGGAAGGCTTACAGTTTCAGTCCTGATTAACTTTTTATTCAAACAATGCGTTCTGTAGTAACTAATGACTTGTTCCTTATCGGCTGCAATCGTAATGTGTCCAGGCAGATGTTATGTAATCAGAAGACTGTAGCAGTTCTCGTTACTTCTCCGTAACACAAACTGCTCTGATATAGTATGCTTTAAAAATGCCTGAATAATTAAGAACCCAAACTTGATCTAGTTTTCTACTCAGGCTAACAGTTTGTGATTCATTTGCTAACCCAAATTTGACTGGTGTCAACAGACCATGAACGTTAATTCTGTTCCGTAAAGGATAGGTCAGTGTATTTTCTGCAAGCTAACAATAGCATTAGTCAACTGGACCTTAGTACGCGTCAACTGGTACCCCTTCACATAAAGGTTCTAATCGTGGCTTGTTTATGCGTTTGGCCTAATTCCTGTAAAGCAGATAGTTTTTGGTCAAAGGGTCTGAAAGCCTGTGCCATGCCAGCATCAGCAAACCATGGCCCTCGCAGCCTGGTATGAGCTGGCAGATCCCTGACATCTGGCTCCTTGCCCTTGCGCTTGCGCTCACGCTGAATATACCAGTGGTGGGAATGACTGCCCAGTCCTTATATTTGACCTTCTGACCCCTATTGGGTTGTTGTTGTTGTTGTTGTTGGTGGTGGTGAAATATCCTGGTCACGTGTATGTTGTGGACCAGGGAGTGTGGTGGCACGCCTGGCTGCGGGTTCAACGTGCCAGCCACCTGCCCCCCCTCACGCCTCTGGTCTTCTTCACTCTGTGTTGACACCAGGTCTAGGTGGTGAGTGTGGAGGGTGGAGTGCGATAGATGCTGCGAAAGTCTACTATCACTATAAACTAATTTACGCGCAAGTCACCCTGCCTGCTGCACCTTACTGTGTAGTACACGGTGGGCATCGTCTTAATTGTCGGTCGAACTGTCGTACACACTGCACTGATGCAAGACAGGGCTTTTAAAGAGACTGATAAATCTTCGTTAATGCCGAACCATTTGCGGCGGTCTATAACAGCGACTTGCAATCACTGTCATTTGCCTGTCCACTGCATTTGTGCTGCTACTTACGTCAGTGTCCTGCCGCATTCTGAACCATAAAGAACAAACGATCACGATCCTTAGATCATCACCGTCTAGGACGTTTGTCATACAGAACTATTTGATTGTTTTTCACCGATTGGGTTACCGGACTAGCTCGTCTCTTTCTACTTCGGGACTCTATCTAGAAACCTGCAGGCAGTCGTACAGCATTTGGTAATATGGACAGGAGATATCCAACAAAATCTAGGGATACCGGGATGCCCATTTCTGGTTTATTAGCCGTCTTTTGTCAGTTTTATCCCGCCCCACGTTTTGGGAACTCCTAAGGATCGAGACTGTATTCTTTTGGTTATGGAAGATGGGCATCCCAAGAAACATAATTCGAAGAAGAATGAGTCCTTTGGGAAAATGAACAAACTTTATTTCGTAAATTTTCGAGTCTGGTTCCCCAGCTCGTCTTCAGACGTGTAGTAAGTGTGAAGAAACAGTCAAAATTTAAACAATGCCGAAAAAATCGATATTGCTCTGTCATGGCTGAGGATGGGTTAATGTTCTGGGCTGATGTCCCGCCTTGATTGGCTATTACCTTTTCCATTTTTCTTTGAGATTTGTGTACATGGTATCGAGGTCGATGCGTCGATTGATGCATGAATCATCAGAGTGAATGGCCTCTAGGAATTATTGGCCTTTCTTATATGGGCAGGAACCGACAATGCGTGTTTTATCCCAAGCGAATTTGTGCCCAGTTTCAAGAGTATGCATGGCGACTTGGGATAAAGTGTCAGTAAGTCCAACCCTTTAACCAATGAGCCTCAGACTTTTTGCCCTGTCGATTATGCTTGGAAATATTAACCATGTCAAAGCGTTTGTCGACCAGCCCAATTTTTGAAATGTGCATCATTTCGCAAGACAGGTCTTAGGAGTTTTTTTATTTCTGGTGTAGCGTGGCAATCTGTCCTGATTACTGGATAGAATGCGGCAGCGCGAGTGATCAAACCGGAACGATCAATTTATTATCGGAAAGGACTAATTACGAAATAAAACATTAGCCACAGTTTTTGGTTAATCATTTTCTGTGATTGCTTAATTTGGCGTTACGGCAGACTACGAGCTGATTTAGTTCTGTGAATTT